CTTAGAAAATGAGTAAAACCCATACCAAATATGTCCCGAATGGCAAAATGGAAAAACTTTATCACTTAATTGCGTTCGAAGCACTTTTCGGGTGTTACTTTTATCAGGAGAGTCAGACGGGAAAAACAACAGTACTTCACTTGTTGGTATTCTAGTGTTTCTATTCGTTCGTTTTTCCTTTGCGTGTTTCTTTTAATATTATTTGTTTTTAGTTATAGCAGTTCAGATTTTTCATTTTCAAAACCCGTCTGCAACCCCTATCCCCCCGCGCAAAATATCAAATGGTCGCCCTTTTATGATAAACAATAAACGAACAAAACATATATGACAGACAGCAGCCAACGACAACATCAGAATTAAAGGCTCCTGACTTCGGACAGGCCCACAAAGATTGTGACTGGGTTGAATATGTATTCAAGTGCTACTCACCTCATACACCTGGTTTGTGTAAAAACACTTAATAAGAACAGAGTTGTTTTTTCACATGTAACCACGTAAAACGTTTGAAAAAATAGCATGTTTTCTTCGGTATAAATGATCGAGGAATTAAAAAGGTCATATACAAAACAAATATCAAAATTGAGACTATATTCCTGCAATAACTGCAAAGTGGATACAGTAAAATGGTTCATTCAACCTATGCCCACATTTTGAAATTCAGGTATAAAATTGTATAAAAAAAATATATTATTCAATACTGGTGAAAGTTAATAGAATTACCTCAAATCATGAAAATACTACGTTAAGCACTATTATATTAACAAGTTACACAAATCTAAACATAACGAATAGTTCATTAATACTGAAGAAGTTCACTTTGATTGTTAAATGTCATACATTAACTTTAATGCAGTAGATATGATGCTGCATCTCCATACTCTACTGGTGACATGTTATTTTCCTGCAGTCTCTGTTTGAGGTCGGCCAGCCTGTTGTCTATTTCAATATACTTTCTTTTGCGTTGAGGACGCTTACCACCTGCTGAATACTGGATAATTCTAATCTCAATTGCTGCTTGTTGTTTCTTCAGTAGTTTAATCAGGTTGTAGAGGTTCGGGTGTGGGTGTTCTACATGGTTTTTAAGTTTATGATGCCATCCTTCTCAATGGTTGTTTGTTCTTGGGCCTTCTGTTTCGTAATGGTTCCAGAGGTGTCGGTACCCTCAATCCAGTATTCTGTCCCATAGTTAATAAACTGCAAGGTGTTGATGTTGGTGTTGGCGTCATCTATATCTTCTAAGGCATTTAACCAGACGTCCTGAACATGCTGTATTGGTATAGTGGAAACACTGCTGCACGTCTTACCAATCTGATGATGTCATTGTTGTTCTTGTAATGGCTTTGCAGTCCTGTGTACTATCATGTCTTTCGCCATATACATTGACAGTAATGAAAGAAGCAACCTTTTCTAGTAATACCTGGGAATATCTGATATGCTGCGCTATGTACTACAACTTCATAGTATAAATTGGTTGTAGCTGTATTTCATGGCGTTGGCATACTTGTTTCAGTAGTGTGAGGAACACTGTGTAGGTGACTTGGCTCTCTCCAGGTAGTAACGAGTACATCAGTGGGTAGATAGCTCCGTCGGCGAAAGCATGGATAGTATACAGTTGATAAAACACGTTTAAAATGTACCATCACCATAGATGATATATGTTGCTGCAAGGTAGGTTAGTTTTTGCCTTGTAGTAAACAGCATAATTCTATCTTGTTCACCGTCATCTGCCATTAGGAACTGTTCACCAACTGTAGTGCGTGTCAAGAGTTCTGCCAGGTTGATCTCATTGCGTGTTTTTGGTAGTGCCGATATGAGTTTAGCTCTCTCGTTGAAGAAGCTACCTCTTCAGGACTCAAAAGTTGGCAGGTTTACTACGACTTCTTGAGTTTCGTCATTACATTCTGGATTACGTAATTTGATGACCTCTTGTTCGTATATAGTAGGAACTGGTTTAGTCTCCTCTCTGCAGCGTTTCTCAATAGTCTGGAGTATCTCATCTACTTTGAGTTTAATTGTGTGATTGTCATGGTTGTGCCTATTTGGAAGCTTGGTTGGAATGTTGTTGCATGTAGCTGGACAGTTACGTGTAATACATATCCAGTATACTCTCTCATCTCGTCTGTTTTTAGCTCTGAACTGGTACCCATTGTGGATAAGACTCTGGTTGTCTAGACTTTTAGTAACGAACTAGATGTTTACCTTTTTTTTCTTTTTTTTTTTATTATTTTTTTTTTCTCTTTTTTTTTTTCTTTTTTTTTTTTTAAATGAGCACTCAGACTGAAGGGTTTGGAAATTTTAGCACGATAATCACAATATGACGAAAGTTATAATTAAAAAAGTAATAATTAGTATAGAATATTAATAATTAAGAGTTGTTATAGAGTGTTGAACATATATGCAAAGAAAGAAGCTGGGTTTGGGCTTTACTTATTACCGGATTTCCAGAGAGTTAACATTAGCTATATTTTAAACAAATAATTAGAAATAATGTATTCAAAATAATATTAGGATACAGGCCTCAACCTTCCTTCTCATGTTGGTGGAAGAGGTATATGTGGCCAAATTATGTCATCATTGTGCTCCGATAATTAAGAGTATTTTATTGAAAAAATATAACATATACACACAAATTATAATAAATAAGTATCATACTTCACTAAATTGAATTATTTTTATTTAAGTATATATCTCTATTTCTATGAAATGTAATGTTAAGAGTATGAATTAAAACACCGGAATTGATAATATAACTTATTTGATAAACTGAATAAACATATGCATATATTGATGGGAATAGTTCCCATGGTATCTTAAATAACAAACAGTTTAATTCATTTAAAACAAAAGTTTCATCATTTATTTCTATTCTAATGAAGTCATTTATATATTTTCGAAATAGTCTTAATTTGTTACAATGTAGCAGTAAATGCTTTAAGGTTTCATTTTCCGAGTTACAGAAATAGCATTTCGGAGAAACGTTACTATAATTTCTTCTTTTTTGATTATCTTTAGTAGGAAGAGCATTATGCACAACTCTATAAATAAAATCTTGCTGGTAATTGCTTTTGATATTTCTAATATTACACCATATATCTGGAAATCGACATAGCTGTACTTTATTTCAATTTTATGTTTATGATTATCTATTTCAAGAATTTTCTTATAAATATTTTTGGGGTTGAAATTTTGTAGGTCAATTTTATTCTTATAATTCATTAAGAGAGCTTTTAATTTTGTGTAAACTCTTGGTAAGATCATCGTGTGTTGGAAATTATTATTTCCTTATTCTGAATTAATTTCCCTTAATGTATAACCTAAGAAATATATCATAAAACATGTCCAAACAGATTTATTTCCTTGTAAGAAAATTGTTTCTCTTTGAAGAAGCATGGCATCAGTATTTATAACAATGAGTTTATGTTTAAAATTTAGCTTTCTATTTTCCCATTTATTTACTGTATTTTTTATACTATGGATAATTGGTAGCCAACTTTTATCTTTACTTTCCTTACTAAACCAAATTCCCAGTGTTATAACGCTCTCCTTAGTTAAAAGCTTTAAACAAGTGTCTTCTTCAAGGGCATTACAAATATTTAGAATTTCCGTTTTGTTTTTAATTATTTTTGCTCCTGATGCTTTACCAAATTTTTCGAATTCATTCATAAACAAGTAATAATCTTTAATATCTGTTGTAATTGTTGTTTAGATCCATTGTTTGATAATATTTGATATTAATATGGTATAGTTTTCATTTTCAAGTAAGCTATTATTCATTTTCCAAAAACCACGACCCCATTTTTGCCGCTTATATTGTATGTTAATTTGAACAATTTTATGATCTGACTTTTTATACGGAATATGTTTAATTTCTTTAATTTTATTAATAAATTCATTATCTGCATAGAACCTGTCAATTCTAGTTCGAGTACCAGAGATGTTGTAGCACGTAAATTTGCCTTGTCGTTATGTATTTCTCTAAAAACATCTTTAATTCTTAAAGCATCTTTAATACTTTTAAATTTATCAAGTATATATTTGTTAAGTCTGCAATTCATGTTATTTGAATCTATTTTGTCTTCTATGAAATTAAAATCTCCAGTCAATATATACTTATTTTTTGTACTATATTGTTCTAGATTTAACTAGACATAGTTTAACAGAATGTCATAGAATAATCGTTGTTCTTCCCTCAAACCACATTGTGGTGCATAAAGGTTTAGAAGATTAATGACAGTATCATTATAAATGTAACTATTGTGGATGGGTCTACCTTTTAGCGGTGTTGGAACCCTATGAGATTTAAACAGTTTTAAATCTTTACTAATTATTGTTATGACACCTGTAGATCTACTTACATCATTTGAGAAGTCTACATTTTTATTAAATTTCTGTTTTATATCATGTATAACATCTAGCGACATTTAACCAGTTTCTTGTAAACAGATAATGTCTATATTTCTATTGTCATCTAATATTTCATAAATTTTGTTTTCAAAACCATTTCTAATGTTCAATGTAAAGAGTAGCATATTAATGTAATTATATATGAAAAAATAGAGTAAACAAAATATCAATATATGAGAGTGATTGTTATGATTAGACATTTTAATAGTTATATGGGAGGGGGTTTAGGATTTGCGGGACTAATATTACTGCTTTTTGCGTCTGAGTCTTTGCCAGTTTTTGATCTTTCCCTGTTTGAACAGAACTCTCAATGCTTAGTTTATCTCTGTTTCTCTTTTTTTCCTGGTCCTTTTCTCTTTCCGGAATTTTTGTTTTGTCTTTTTCTTTATTTTTATCAACTCTCTTCGCACTTAATGATTTACGTTTTGGTAGGGGAGTTTTATCACTTGCTATGTCGCAACCATCTTTGACAGCATCATAATATGGTTTGTTCGATGACGACATACGGGCTGCAATCTCATCACCTGACTTTGCATGTTTCTCGCCCTTGCTAGCTTTTAAAGTCGGTGTGCTTTTTGTTTTATCCTTATTAATACCTTGTGTTTTTATCTCGACCATCTGAAGGAACATCTGTTTTGGAAGATTTCCCCGAAATTGGCGCCTTGGATGTCTAACTGTGCATTTGCCATATTGACTTAAGAATGATGCTTTCCAGAAAGTGAATTTGAATTATACACTTCATAGCTTGGATACTCAGCAACCTGTCAAAAGTGAACAAAAATCACTTTAAGTATGCTTAATTATTTTACTGATTTGTCATTAATTATAAATCAAAGAGAGTAAGTAGTCCAAGCTGTATCAGTGAGATGGTATTTTGTTAGTAATTTAACTTTTTATAATTAGTCATAATTATCAATGATCAAACTTTAAATAATTTTGATAATTATTCTGAATTAGAATTGTTTAATCATTTAGAGTTTTTTATTTTCATTGATTCATATTTAATTTTCTACAACAAAATTGTTTAAATTAAACTTGAATATGAAGAATAGAATTAATGTAATGTTTTCAACTTTTTTATTTCTATTTTGAAAGTTATTCTGAATTGTTTTTTTTGAATATTTAAAGTGTTTTATTTTTATTATTTCATATTTACGACACCAAAATTATTCAAATTAAACTTATTTTTTTTAATATCTAAAGTGTTTTATTTTTATTATTTCATATTTACGACAACAAAATTATTTAAATTAAACTTTTTTTTTAATATTTAAAGTGTTTCATTTTTATTATTTCATATTTACTACAACAAAATTATTTAAAGTAAACTTGAATATGAAGAATCGAATTAATATGTATTTTATGCTTGTTTCTTTTTAAATTTAGCATTTATTGATACACACTATTCTATTTTTCTTATTTAGAACTATAGATAAAAATTTTATTACAAAAAAAACTGACTGTATTTTACCTGTAATCAATAGTTAATTGTTAAAACAACTATTGTATTTTGCATGTGGGCTTAGGTTGAATACGTGTTTATCAAATGTGGGCATATGTTGATTGATTGATTGATTGATTGATTGATTGATTATATAACTCCAAACGAAAGTCATGTCCTATTTAAAATCGTCTTTAATTATTATTATTATAATTTGTATTATTCTAATAATTTTGTCGTCTTAATTTCATCAATGAAATTTACACTAAATTTTGCCTGTGTATTAAATTATTTTGTAAACTTCTTGAAATTCCATAATGGCCATCCGAATACAATGGGACCCGCAAGAATGTGAACATGAACATGTATTTGTCCTTCAATAACTTGAGTATGCCTCAACTTTTTTAGTGTGTATCTGTTACAGTGAATTAGGGAATTTTCAGAGATTATGTATAATCACTGGTAACTTTAGTGATTATATATAATTACTAAAATTTTCAGGAATTATGCATAATCACTAGACAAAAATGTCAGGGATTATTCATAATAACTGGAATGGAGAGACAATGAATAAAGTAAAATAATTATGCTATTACATCATATTAAAACATCTTTAGAAACATAAATATTAAAATCTTTAGCACAATATTCTAATATAAATCATTTATTTTTACAAACTACATTGTAAATTTGGATGACATCTTCTATGAGGGTCTGGATGGGGATCCCTCATTTCTTTATACTTTAATTTTGTAGTTCATTTTTCTCTATACTTTATTTATTTTGCCCATTATTCTCTATTTTGTATATTTTAGCACACTATTATTTTCTATTCTTATTTTTTTTTTTTTATATATTTTTGTCTATTCTTTATTTGTTAGCTTTTTATTTTGCACTGTTTGCCCATTATTATCTATTTTTTAAACCCCATCCAGACTCTACTATTGAACATTTTCTCTGCTTATCCTTTTTGCATTAAAAAAAGAACAAAAAAAAACAAACCCCAAAACCCAAAGCCTTTACATATTGAATCTGTTATTACTGGTCTTTGAAGAGAAATAAAGTGTTCATAAGAAACATCTGCAGGTGCTCAAAATGTCAATCAGACACCTCAAATTGATTCCTTGTGTATTATCTGAGCATAATTTCATGTTTCATAGTCAGTCATTATCCTTTTCAGCCCTTTTATGAACGATAGCCATTATATTTTTTGGATCTCTCTTTCCACGATAAACATGCGGAATCGGTATCACAGACTCCTCCAAAATTGTATTCATACTGTCAAGCATGTGTTCTGTTTGTGTTTTTCTTGACGTTTAGTTGCATTTCTTTGTTTAGTTTAACTTCCTTGTTCGTTACCGGTCATCCCCTTTGTTTTACAGCAAATTACATGATCTGGTCATTTATGTTGGTATTATCAATTTCAGCTTAAAATACTTATTTGTTTTTGAGTTAATGTGGCTTAACACAGTTAAGGTAGCACAATACAAAAGCAACTAAATTTTATCAAAATTTTATTTTCAGCTATTTTTGTTACTTTTTAATATTTCAAAACCACAGAAGAAACATTATTTACATATCTTGCACTGTTAATGAGTTTTGATGATAATTAGTTTTATAAACAAATGCACGTGTCTTACTGATACAAGATAAGAACATGTGGGCAGTACTTTGTGGTTAATCAATAAAATCATCTGATAGCTTTATAACCACTGACCAGCAATAAAAATAGCAGTTATGAAAAAGAGGTGGACTAGGGATTTATGGCAAAATGAAGATAATGAATTCCAAATAAAAATACATTTATATATTGGAGCTGCTAGGAGAAAAAAACAAAACTACTATTTGGAGATTTAGAGGGAATCAAAATATAAATGTACAGATATTAAAACAAAACAACTGAACATTAATTTTAAACGTTGCTGATGTTTATACTACAATTTCTTGAGGAGAATGTTTAAATATGAATTCTTTTTAAAAGAAAATACAAATTAAATATTTCATTTTCAAACTGCAAAAATGAAAAAAATCTACTTTGTGTAAAACACCATATTGCCATTGTATACAATTATAATTCTAGAAATCCTCCATTAGGATCCTCTAGACTGACCAACTGATCATTTTGTGTACACATGCATAACTTACTTTTTGTAACAATGCAGAAAAAAAAAATTTATGTACTAAAAGAACAAAATCCATATTGAAAAAAGTAAATGCAATGTGTAATTAAACTTCTGAGATCATTAATAGTAAAGATTTATCATGGTGGGCGGAGTTTTGACCACATCAGTAGCAACTGACTTACAGCAAGGTCAATAATGATATAACATCTCCCGCCAGGTCTGATTTTTGATGCATGGGGTGTGCATTTTCTTAATATATATTTAGAATTGCTGAAATGGAATGCTTTCTTACTGGTCAAAACCTAATTGATTTATGATTAAAGGCCAATCCTGACGTATCCCCATGGTACATATGTGAATTATATTGAAGTTAATGGGGTAAAAGTAGGAAAATAATTATTTATTCAATTGTGACACATTCATTTTTATCATGAAAATGAAGTTTTAAATGAAATTAGCTCCTAGATGGGTGCCCCTATATGCCTGATTTTCACACATGTTGTTCCTTGACCAGTTATCTTCAAAACGGTGTCTCAGATTTTCAAAAACATCAATTGAACAAATTTTATACCCAATTAAATTTAGTGATGTCTTATGAATTGAGGTTGCAAACTTCATTGAAGGTTTATAAGAGAATGAAATACAATAGGAAAAATCTGAGACACCCTTTTGGAGGTCAAACTGTGACTGTGAATCTATAAAATATTTTGGTTTGGTATGAATAACAAAAAAGCTAATTTCATTCAAGTGTGAACATCACAATATAGCAACTAATTACATAATAATTAATTATGTAATAATTATGTCATGATGAAATTATCACCATTTGAAAGATTAAGCTTTCGTTTTTTGTGGTGAAGATTTTAGTAAATAATATCAGATATTATAACTTATTTAATTTTCATTTACTCTTATAATCCCCATCTTACAACAGCAGTAGTGATACAAATTTGATCTGCACTCATTGTTTTGACTTGTCCGAGACATAAATTTACATAAAAGTTAACATCATGTAAAATAACAATCCCTAAATTTATAAGACAAAACGCTACTAAAACATAGAGCCATATAAATAATAAACCGTCTTCTTGCACTATAAGGCACTGAAGAGGCTTCATTTTAATTTATTAAGTACCTAAGACGAGGTCCATATACGCTTCCGTATATACTTGCTGTCCCTGTGTTCTTAGCACGATTCTTCTGTTATCGAAACAACAAGAACGCACTAAATAGTTGTAAATCAGTTTAAAGAGGTGGCCTAATGGCCAATTTCCTCCTGAATTTTTTTCACATCAGGGCCATTTTTAAAAAGTCTCAATCTTTAACTAAATTCTTAGTACATGCATCACAGTCCAATGTATGTTCTTTAAGGTTCTAATAATATAATTAGTAATTTTAAACAGATCACAAAATTATAAACCCCCAAAGAGCCTGCAGATAGTCCAAACAGGAAAAATTGTGATAGCTCAATAGCTCCAAAGATTATAAACCTTTCAAACCTTAAAAGTATAGATCATTCACCAATGTAGCTCAAATATAGATAGCTCGAAACCGCGATTTTTGCAATTTTTTGCTTTTAGTATTTATTCCTGTATGAAGTAAAGCTATGTATTGTCTTTCGGACACTTAACTAATTCATGTTTGTTATCGAAGTCTTTCGATGCAAAATTTGACAAAAACATGTAAAATTTGCAAATTTGTATAAATATGTCTTCAACGGCAACACATAACGCTGAATAGCAATTTGTGATTATGAAAATTTATGTGTAAAAATGTTTAAAAAATACTTTAGTTATATAGGTTGCAATTCTGTAAATATAGACAATGCAATTTCCCATAGGAACTCCCTTTGCGGCTGAAACTGTGACACTTTTACTATGAAGTTTCGTGAAAAATAATATCCCAGAACGGAAAGTTTATATGCACTACTATTTTATTCAAAGGTCAAAATATAGGGCTGTGCGGCATATTTTCAACATTTATATGCCCTGAACTTTTAAGAGTTTAAACTTGTACCAAAATTCTATTCATAAAACTACTACCCTTACCTCCATATTTGGACCTCCTAAGAATTAAAATTTAGGTGCTACCATGTTTTTCTATACTGGTTACATTCCCAAGTGATGTTTCTATGAGATGAAACACAGAGATCATAAATGGGAACCAGTACGTTAACAAATTAACATATCTATGAATATTATATATCTCCCCAAAAGAGGCGTGTTTTGAGAAACAGCTGTATTTACAAAGTGCAACCTATAAGAAAGACTCTTTATTACTACATTTCAAGTAGAATAGAGATAAGAAACACAAGTTTTAGACCTTGTGAATGAAACGAGTACTGGGGAAAATTGGCTCCAACCCTTTGCAATTTTGTATTAAAATGAATTCAACTGCAACATATAGCACTGAATAGTATTTTGATTTTAGGGGGAATATGAAAATCTGTGACACAATATGTTACGTCATCTTCAATCTAATTTCCAGACCAATTTTAGATTTTGACCCTAAGAGTGAAATAAGTCCAGGAAAAATTTTCCTTTCTTTATTTAAAGACCCCTCCTCCCAATTAAAAAGGATAAAAGGGGTGCATACACATGTACCTCAAGTGCATGTACTGTTGTCTATTTCTGTGGTTTACCCAACATGCCAAAAATAAAGTTACGATGCTTTACCGCTTGAAACTAAAAATTATCCAGCATGCACGTTCACGGTATTATATCCTTTTGGCATCAAGCAAAGTCGAAACCAATAAAATAAGTCACCGATTATTGAGGCAACATAATAAGAAACGGCCCAAACTCAATTACTCTCACAACCTAAAATTTTGTGATTTGCGACTTAATGAAAATAATTGAAGCTATCGTATCACATACATGTATCTTCTATTCTGATATAAATTAAGTAAGGCGCGGGAATTACAATAATGTGCCAGATCATGGTATACATATCTTCTTTTGGACTGCTTCCTGCAGGTGAAATATAAGATGGTCTGCTAAACTTCAACTTGAAGTGTGAACTTTTGTTTAGTTAATCTAAAAAACGTAAACATATTATCGTCCTGATACTTGTGTATTATTGGCTGATGGATCTTAGTCATCTATTCGAATCTAGTTTTGTCAGTTAGGTAGTAACTTCCCTTGTTAATGTGATATAGTAATTATATATTTTTACCATGTTTATAGTTTACTTCATTGTATAATTTAAATTTATAATCCATTTGATATTTAAATATTACAGATTTATATATCTTATTATAGATAAAAACAAGAAAATTTGAAAGTCTTTGTTTCATGAATCACCTTATTTCAATTCATAAGTCAGGCGGTCTATTTTGTCTACATTAAAATTGACGTCATCATGTTGATATTGTGTAAATGAATACGAACAATTTTGACGAATTTCAAAATTGACGACTATGAAACACAATATGAAAACATAGTTTATATACAAACGAAAAAATCTAGAACTAAAAACAGAAATTGAAACAAAATGTGGTTTTTCGTTTTTGTTTTGTGATATCAAAATCGAAAAACGAAAACTCTTCCGTTTTTTATTTTTGTTTGTTTTAAGATATCAAAAACGAAAAAAGAAAAACACTTTCGTTTTTCGTTTTAGTTTTGAGAAATCTAAAACGAAAACGAAAACACTTCTGTTTTGATTTTGGTTTGTTATCATTTATCTGTCCAATATTAATATTATTGAACCGTGTGACAACCAGTAAAATATAAGAAGATAATAGATTTCGGTACTTGGAACACAGGCACTTGTCTAATATAAGGTATATAGGGTGTTTTTTTCAGAGACCAGTGCCTGTGACTTGGATAGAACCAAAAAAAAAAAAAAAAAAAAAACTCATGGGTGTGTTTGGCTAAGGTTAATAACATATTCGTAAATTCAAAACAATAATTCTTTAGCTGATTTGTCTTGTGGTCTGTCAGCTGAAGCTGTGCTTTAAAACATAACAAAACAAAAAACAAAAACAGTTCATTATTTTTGTTTATGTAAGCTATATTTTGTATGTGAATTTTTAAGACATGTCTCATTGTTGTAGCAAGAGGGATATTTACAAGTGTATTGAGAGCTTGACTTATATTTTTATAATGATAATATAGTGTGTTTGTATTAATATTTAAATGTTTATTAAATACACTTGAACGTAAAATTTACATACAATTGAAATGCCTTTCTTATTAAAGTGCTACAATCCAGTGTGTAAAAATGCCTTTTAGTTCCTCCAAAGTAAAAACTCTCATTTTTCAGTAAAATACATCATTGTCATATGTATTTCCTCGAATGTTTGTGTTCTTTGGACCTCCATAAATAAGGTATAAAGTCACAGAAGTACTACCTTCCAGATGACTGGAGAAGAGATATCTCCTGATATTTTTTTAGTTATTTCTACATTGTAAGTAATAAAGTATTACCTGATCAAAAGTTGTTTTAAAAAAGAATATTATTTTCAGATAAAAGTAAAGTTCAGTTTGGACATTGCACGATTACAAGTGAAGTTTTATTCAGACATTGAGAGTGCAATGTATAGAATCTGGAGAGATTAAACTCATTAGATCGATACAAAAAACATACGTAACTAACAAAAACACGAAAGACACAAACTATCTGAGAGCACTCGCAGTTACTTAAAGCTCGTCGAAAGCCAATAACAACTAATAAAAAATCATGTATCCTAGACACTAATCCATCAGTACACATCTAAAAGAATTAAGTGAATTACGTTACGTTATAGGATTTCAATTTGTTTCACCCTCGGTTTTTGGTGAGGTTCGTGTTGCTCAGTCTTCAGTTTTCTATGTAGTGTTTTGTATACTGTTGTTTGTTATTAATTGATTTTTTTGCAACGACATTGCGACTGATTTATCTCTTTTGTATTTTCCCCTTCCCCTTAACACTATCCTATTTCAATTATCTTCGTATATTATAAATGTAGTTAATGAAAATTGTTAGTTTAATCAAAATTGTCCCGCCATTGTATTATTGTGCTATGGTAATTTTTTTATATTCTTATCTTTCATGTTTTTTCTGCTTTGTCTATATGCCATTTTGTTTATCTTTTGTTGACATATTGTTTGATTTTATAGTGATTAAGATAATAACACAATGTTGACTGCTGTACCCCAATTTTTGACATTTTGACCTATTATGTATGTTTGTTTTGTTCACGCATTGCTGTCAATAGAATGGATTTTTTTGCGACTTTTGTACAAGTGAGAGGTTTAGCTAGCTATAAAGCGAGGTTTAATCAACAATTTTCTATATAAGGAAATGCCTGTACACGTTATAAATTTCATGCGGCCGTAGCGTTTTTCTGGATTTACCTTCACCAGGAACGCTCAAAGCCGAATATTTGAAAACCAAGAATGTATAATAATCTAAACAATCGAAGAGCTATATGACCAAAAAAGGACCTTAGAAAATAGCCAAATTTATCAAAGGTCAACTTTGCCTGAGGGAGTTAAAACCTTAGTTTCTTATAATTTCAAAATGTATTAACGGACAATTTTTTGAAAAAATTGTGATTAATCTTGTCAGTACCGAAGCACTGGCTACTGAGCTGATGATACCATCGGGGACTGATAGTCCACCAGCAGAGGTATCGACATATAGCTTTGGATATAAAAGGATTTCTGTTGATAAACAATAAACTAAACCTCCTATATCTTTTTATTGTGATCGTGTACCGAATGTTGTTGAAAAAATTACCAATACATTAATGTTAGACAGAAAAAAAAAATCGAAGTTATCTTATCATAATTAGTACCAATGATTTAAAGCTAAAACAAGTTTTGTAGCAAAACATTCAGTCAGACCAAGTAATAAGTAATGTGCAAGGAATTTAGTACATTCTAATTGTAATTTACAGATATAAATGATAAATTGCATTCCTCTTGTTTCTTTTAATAATTTTAAAGTTTCCGATGCTCCTTCGACTATGAATAAAATGTGATGTTTTATTAATTCTGCATTACAAAGTTTTATACTTTTTTCTTATCTGTTGTCGCGAATTGCGATTAACATAATTATTGTTTTAACATATTTCTCCTATGATATTTTGTTTTACATGAAAGTTGCTGCTTTTATCATAACTTTTGTCTCCGTTAATCATCTCCTTTGATTGTTATATGTTTCTCCGTTAATTATAAATGAGTATCTTCGTTAATTGTTATAGAAAACTTTATATTCACAAATATCTCGTGCTTTATGCTTTATTTGTCCCTATAAATAAGAATGGAAAATATGATTTAAGAAACTTTTAGAATTGATCTGGAATATGTGAACTGTATGTATGATGTATTATAAATGATAGAATAAATGTTAAAACGCTGATGTGTTTTTCATTATAAAATGTGGAATTAGTGGTGAACCTCTCAACCAAGACAAACAAAAAAAATACAGTGTTCGTTAACAATTAACTACGCAACATCTGTAACAAAATGGCATGAAAATGAACTTACCGCTTTTGACTCCGTACGTTGATAGAGTGTTCTTCAAAATACTGAATTATCAGCCGATAATAGGTACTTTAAAACATATAAGGGTAGCACGTGACCATATGTATTGCTGAAAATTTCCAGCAAGGATTTACCTGCTGTTATTTTTATTCTTTTGATTATTCATAAATGTTAAGGCATATATATATCCGAGTCATGATTCTGGTATGCGAATTATTTCAGTTGAATATGCTCAATGATTGCAAAAGCTACAGTTTAAATGCCTGAAATGTCATACCAGTTTTAAAATCTGATCTATCTACACTTGATTGTAAAGTTATTAATAATTTTAAGACACACGGATCTCTCATGAATATTCAAGCTCCACTATAAAACCTTTTCGAAGGACATTAATATCAATATATTTACAGTATACTATATCATAGCTTAAATAAAATAACTTCCTTGACATATTTGAAGGGTCTGCAAGTAGCCGGTTGCAAACAAAATATCTTTCCTCATTTAACATATCTTCATGTCCATTTGGCAGTTAATATTCCTAACCTTCATCGTGGAAGACCCAGAACCTTTTATAAAAAGCTACGGAGTATTAGTACTTTGACACGTGAGTAACTTTATGATCAATCCGAACCACTAAAATAGCAACGTTTATCTAAAGTCAACTTTGTCTGAAAGAGTTGGCCATATTTTCTAAAGATCTTCTAATTTCAACAGCAGAGCAATTAAAGGCATTCATAACTTTAGTAACTTTCATGCATATAACTCTTGTTCTGTGCCACGGAATGTTTCAATAGTCGTTTTGGAATGTAATCACGAGAAGTTGTAACGTGCAATTTTCTAAATAATTTATAAATTGAAATTGACCCTATGAGTTCTAGATTACTCAAATTAATTGACTAATTTGACTTATTTCATATCAAAATGAATGTTGGCTTAAATGTTTGGTACGAGGTTATGATAATGTTTAATCATTTATTTGTCATTTTGACTTGCACTTTTATGTATTGTGTTCAATTATAGGTAATTTAAAGATCTGTATTCTTCTTCTCATGGTAACATCAAATGACTTGACCCATGACATCTTTTATTATATTGTAATATTAAACGGTAAGTATTATTTCATTTGGGTTTTAAATATTATTTATATTTTTGTTATTTAGAAAACTAATGCAATCACAGTTTTCAGTTGGGATTTCCCAATTGAATACATTGAAGATTTATGACACATAGGGTTTCCATGATTCAAAAGTACTTTTCGGTCTGCAATCATGACGACAACACTGCAACCACACAAAAACCAATAGACATATAAAGGTCAACCTAAAAGACTAAAGGAAGAAAAGCGAGTGAGTCTAGGAAAAGACCTTAACCAAGTGTAAAAATAAAGCCCGCGGGTTAAAAAAAAAGTAACAGCCTACTGCCTTTGTCTGTCGATAGCAGAAAATGGTAGAGCTAAATATTCCACCTTAAGAGAAGAAAAATCTTGAAATTAAATAAAGAATGTAGAGTTGCCAAACGGTCATATTATTCAGTCAACTGATATGAAATGATTCTTTTTATAAGAAAAAAATGGTTCATTCATTAGTCATTAAAGTTATATGCAGACTGCTAGGATGTCTCAAATAAAACTATCACGTATGATCATTTATTGTTTTGTTAAGTCTTTGCCTTGTATCACCGTAGATCAGTCATCAAAGATTGCATTAAATACCGAACACAAGATTAGACAAATTACAATTCAGATCCTCATGACTCTATGTATTGTAACATACGGTTGTCAAGATAATTAAAAACAGGTATTATCAATGAGTATAACACAAGTTGTACAGTTTTTACGATTTCATTAAGACATAGAACAATGCTGCAAGTAGTCGTTGAAATCTAATATGTCTGAAAGTTGAACAGAACAGGACCAAATATAATTAAAAAAAAAACTTGTTTGAAGTACAATGACGAATCTGAAGACTGAACAAATGTCTTTTCGTTACATCTTTTAAGATGATCGGAGGTACACCTACTTCAGTCGTAGTTGTAGTGTCCTTCATAACATCCGATAACCCCTTTTTATCCAGTGCGACGTGTCATTCAGTTTATGGTTTTTTACCTCTATGCAACATGACGTTAAGCTACCTGGCTGGTAGAATTCTTTTGGACAATACTGTCAACTAGCGTAGATTTCGAAACGGTGGTGATAAATAAAGGCGAGAATAGTAACAATACTGACCTTCCAATAAAATCTTGAACATGTTTGAAATTCGGATATTTCTTTCATTTGAAAGTTCGAAATTTTCATAAATGAAGAGTTTTAAATTTAAAATATAGTTTTCGTAAACCCAATTAAGATTATGGATTAAGGATTCTTTTTGTGAAGTACATTTTGTGCAAACAAAAAGAAAATGATAAATATTCTCAATGTTTACGACACAATGTCAGGAATGATCCGTTATTGTGTAACCTATGAAAAGGTCAAGTTTAAGAATGATGCAGAACAATTGTGTTTTGATAATATTAAATTCCTCGTAAGTTTCTAAAGATGAAACGTTACAACTGTAGTTAAGAGACTTTCATTTTTTCACTTCTGTCTAAAATTTAGATATAGAATCGACATTCCAAATTTACGGATAAAGCTCGTTTTTTTTCATTTTCGTGTTGTGGTAGGCAAGAAAGGAATCAGGAGTTAGGGAAGTATACAACTTGGAACAATTATATCTGGGCCATATTACAAAGGATAGAGTACTTCATTGAATTGGAGATCAACACCAACATCTTTTAAGTACGAAAACAATTTATTTCTATTTTGACTCGCTTACTTTTAAAAGCAGAGTGAAATAATAGTTGTAATTTTTATTATATGTACATACACAATTATATACAATGTCAATGGTCTCTGATTTAAGATAGTCACATAAAGTGCAGCTCGTTTAAAATCTTATTTTAAGTATTACCTGTCCGCTTTTTAAAATCTAAGTGAAATGACAAACGGTAAATGAAAAACTAGTACAATACCATCACTTCACAAAAACTCCGAACTCTTTAATATCAATATATTATAGACAACAAAATCACAGATAGCAGTTAAGCAATTTGAACTAAAAGCGTATAATGGGATTTTTATAATCACTGAAAAGAAAATGAAATAAAAGAAAAATATTGTGAAAATCAAAATTAAGCCACCAATTTAAACAAATAACCGGTGTAGTTAAACAAAAATTTTATTTATCTGACAGACCTAACTGAATAAACTTGTATGGATGAATATTACACGTGCATTCGAAAGAACTTGCCAAGTTAGCATTCATCTGTCTAATATTAATATTATTGAACCGTTTGACAACCAGTAAAATATAAGAAGATAATAGATAGCGGTACTTGGAGCACAGACACTTGTCTAATATAAGGTATATAGGATTTTGTTCAGAGACAAGTGCCTATGACTTGGATAGAACAAAAATCTCATTGGTGTGTTTGCCTAAGTTTGATAACACTTCCGTAAATTCAAAACAATAATTCTTCAGCTGATTTGTCTTGTGGTCTGTCAGCTGAAGCTGTGCTTTAAAATATAAAAAAAATAGTTTTATATAAGAATTTTTAAGACAAGTCTCATTGTTGTAGCAAGAGGGATATTTACAAGTGTATTGAGAGCTTGACTTATATTTTTATAATGACAATATAGTGTGTTTGTATTAATATTTAAATGTTTATTAAATACACTTGTACATAAAATTTACATATAACTGAAATGTCTTTCTTATTAAAGTGCTACAATCCAGTGTGTAAAAATGCCTTTCAGTTCCTCCAAAGTAAAAAGTCTCATTTTTCAGTAGAATACATCATTGCCATATGTATTTCCTCGAATGTTTGTGTTATTTGGACCTCCATAAATGAGATTTTAAGTCACAGAAGTACTACCCTCCGGGTGACTGGAGAAGAGATCTCTGCTGATATTTTTTTTAGTTACTTCTACATTGTAAGTAATAAAGTATTACCTAATCAAAAAGTTGTTTCCAAAAAAGAATGTTCTTTTCAGATAAAAGTAAAGTCAGTTTGGACATTACACAATTACAAGTGAAGTTTTATTCAGACATTGAGAGTGCAAGTTGAGTTCGGTTCAGAAATTGAGAGTGAAAGTTGAGTTCGGTTCAGACATTGAGAGTGTTTGTTGAGTTCGGTTCATCCTTACTTTATTACTTGTGCTTAAAGGATACCAGCTTTGTACAATTTTGTGAACAATTCAAGACAAGACAAAAAATGAAATGTGAGTGCACTGCAAAAGTTAATTACTTAACATTCGAATAGTCGCATACGTTATTACTCAATTATCTATAATTATGTCTTGCAGTGTAGTTACAATTGACAATCTTCAGTTTGGTAGCTGTAATGCGTGTTACTCATTAAATAAATGTCATTTATAATGGTCCCGGTGTTTTTTTTTATGAAATTTATAAAATGTGTTGATTCGTCTTGGAATTCGGAAACCGATCTGAGCATTTATACATAGTATGTGCATACATTTTACATCACATGATCTGGTAGTATTTATATAGAATTTCAGATTTTATACCATGCACGATGTGGAACTATGGATAAGAGAGTGTAACATCAGGGTATATTGAATAATCTATTAATGTTATGTAGACTTACAAGAGTGTAAACTAGACAGTAAACCTCGAAAGCACTGACATACTGAGCTTATACTTTTATATTTTTACAACCATGGTGTTATAACTTCAACATGTTGAAGATAATTTCTTTTATGTATACTACTTCATTTTTCTCTTGTGGTCAGTTTGGTTATCAATTTTTATGTAGATACCATCAATGGCGGAAGAAACAAAACAGAACATCAAACTAAATACGAAGCTGAAGTGCATTAAAAACCAAACATTGCAAAAAGTTGTATCAAATACAACAGCTTAGGCAATCAATGTATGGGGCAGTGCCATCGACCCCAGTGATTCTAAAAAATCGTCAAAGACACCAGGCTTTTAACTTGGTATGCCATGAGCGCGTTTAATGATAAAAACGAGACTATTTTGTCATTACGTCAGATTCTATCTTCAATCAAAAACGCTTCAAAGACAAATAAGTAAGATACAATTTTTAATTTTTTTAATGGCTATATCTGACAAACAAATTTCTTCTGAATACCCGAATTAAGTTGTTATTATAGATTAATGATACTTTTCGAATTCAAGAGTATAAAAAGTATAAAAAGCCTAAAAAGAGGCCTTACCAAACCTACTCAATTTTAAAAGCTTGGAAGTAATTAATGGAAAATGTTTACATATATACTTGTCAACAAAAATAACGATACGCAAGTTTTAATTTATATTTATCATTTGTTCTAATAACTGTTAAAAATCATTCAAGGAAAAAAATTCATTTGCAAGGCAAGTACATGTGATTCTAAAAAACATGATCAAGTCGGAAGGTGAGAAAATACCGTGTTTTTTAACAAAGGTGTCACCTTCATCTTGTGGAAAATGGTGACAAAAATCGATATTCAATTTGAAAATGAGGATTTTGAAATTAAATATCCGAGTAGGAAATTCAAAATTGACACCAGACCATGTTTATGTTTGTCAAGAGTTACGTTCAGTTATAGGTTTTTAAAATTTTGGGTGAAAAAAGTATTTTTTTAAATTGACTGATTGCGAATACAAAGTTTCGCGTTTAATGCATTAAATCAATGGTATTGACGAGAAAACATTGGACCAATCGGGTACTTTTTTTTAGCTTGGTCTCGTGTATCCAATTTCAATATGTACGCAAACTCAGTAATTGGTATCGCTTCTTTTGTTGATGAGTATACTTTCTACTGCATCGTCACTCAGTTACAAAAGGAAATACTTATGATGACCAGAATGTTTGCCTTGATATCATATAAATTTGTCAATGACACCGTAGACATTGTTATTTTCATCAACTTATATCCGTAGGTATACCGTCGTCCAGTATCTTCAAAATCGGAAACCTGTATAAAAAGACATTTGGAAATCATATTAATTACTATATATATATAAAAATATTAATTTTCGCGAACCATTTAGGTCACGGAAATTCCATTTTTTGCCATCAGTAAGGAGAGTTGTACAAATAATTTGAATACACAGAACCCCGATCCAATTCATCTTTTGCTAAAAATATTTATCATTTTCTGTTTTATATCTCCTCACATCATTCCATTTTTCTCTAATTTCGATTAAAATATGCCAAAACCTGCAGTAAAAATAGATGTATGACCCAAATAAACATTCCCCGATTGGTTGAACTACTATGGCGTCGATGTAATGCAACGAAAGCCTCGATGTAAAGCAACGCAAGCCTCGATGTAAAGCACACGCTTCCCAAGAGTAAGGAGAGTTGTACAAATAATGTGAATTCACAGACCCCCGATCCAATTTATCTTTTGCTAAAAGTGTTCATCATTTTCTGTTCTGTATCTACCAACAACCTTCCAATTTTCTATAATCCCGATTTAAACATGTCGAAACCTGCAGTAAAAATAGATGTATATCCCAAGTAAACATTCCCCGATTGGTTGAAAAGCTGTGGCCTTGATCTAAAGCAACGCAAGTACACGCAAAATTTTCCGTTGAAATGTTGAACTTCGACCCCGAGCCGATTCACATAGAGATTTTCTTGCGCTCAAATGTAATTCTAAGTGAAGTATACTGGTAAAGTAAAATTATGTTCTTTTACAGAAATATTTACACATTTTATTATTCATGTATTGTCATGCTTTTGCATATTTACGCTGAACTTTAGTTAAATATAATTCTATACAAATTTTGTTACGTCAAGCATTAAGAGTAAGAATATATTTCGCGCCAAAACAAGAAAATAATCTGTGTCACCAAATAAGTTTATCAGCATCTTTCTGAAATTTTCCAACAGAAAATAGCGTTAATTATAGAGAAATTTTGGTGAGTATTACTTATTAATGTTAAGGTTCTCCAGAGGTGGCTCTCTACACCTTCTTGGTGGTCAATTTAATCCCATTTATCAATTATATCCCCGATGGCGATGACACCCAGTCGATTTGTGTCATGAGTGAAAATCTTTATCTATTTGATGAAATAACTTCTTCATTAACTGTACATGCAATATTTTTGTAGTTTTTGATAACCGTGCACATTCCCATTGCATGTCCGCAAGATAAATGGGTTATGCATTTGTGAATTGTGTAAGTACAGTAATATTGTGTGATAAAAATTTGTGACGGTCAGTGCGTGATCACGTGATATTATTATTTGTAAACAAACGGGCTCCCCATGTAACACGTGTAGGAACTATCCATACAAGGTGCAATCAATCTTTTATTTCACTATTTGATGATATTTCTGTGTCTGTTTGTAGGTTTTGCATATCAGATCATCGACAGATGTCATAGTATAGTTTCATAGGTAAAAAAGTACCATGATTGTTCCTGTTCAGTAGTTGTGATTTTTTTTATAGAATTAGAAGGTAATTCTGCATTAGTCATTTTTTGAATTAAGTCTGAAAAAAAATGACTCAACTCTCTGTGTAATTTTTCCCCAATATTTGATACATGCATAATTTAATGAGCATTTGCTTCCCTTGAACCCTCCCCCCCCCCCCTCCCCCTTACAAATTGCCCAAAACTCATACTCATAGTCCGAGATTACTCTAGTGTCCAACATCTGTTTTTGCGATTCCGGCATTTTAACTCTCTATTTTCAAATTGAACACACTCGGCCATTCAGCTTATTTGCATCATAAATGAACGAGGTGTTAGATAATGTTTTCCTATTGTAAAAGGGTCATTTTCATAAATCAGCTCTCATACATGTAATGCATTGTAAATTACTTTTTCTGTTGGTCATGTCACAATCTTTTAAAGTTAAAGTAAAAATGCCAGTATTGATGTGTCGATGTGAAAACTGTCCAAATATGAGAAAATAGCGGGTGGCAGGTCGATTAAACTTACTTTAATGAAGAGAAAAATGAACTAATTGAGGCTCGATTTATATAGATTATGTTTTCTATGGAATATGGGTCATTTGCATAAATCAGTTCCCATAATGTTGGTCATGTGACATTCTTATAAAATGAGGGTGGTAATGGGGGTACCTTCATGACGAATAACGGTATAAAATCCTGCCAAACGACGTTAACGGTAATTTTTGGTGCATGAGGATAAAATACTTTCTTCAAGACGATAAAAAAATAGATTTTGACGAATCACGTTAATTTTTCCCGAAAAATAACGGTAACGATAATTATTTGAGACCTCTGACGAATCACGATAAGGATATGTTGACGAATCACGGTAAAATGTTAACAAATTTGATGCTAACGGTAACCGAAAATGACTGTTTGACGCCTGACGGTAAAGGGCATTCATACCCTCTAAAATGCCAGTATTGATGGGTCAATGTGAAAACTGTCCAAATATGAGAAGATAACGGGTGGCAGGTTGATCAAACTTACTTAAATGAAGAGAAAAATGAATAAATTGAGGCTTGATTTATATGAATCCAGTCGCCTCCACTTCGGACAGGCAAATATCATCTATCTGATATGGGACCAGCTGAAGTCCCACTGCCCTAGCTGGTGTTGCAAAACAGTCGTTCTAGGTTAGAGTAATCTCCGACTACAAAACTCAATTCCAATGACAAAAATGCCCTTATCTTAAATTGAAAGCATTGGAAAAGTAAACTGTAAACTATAATTTTTACAATGACCACAATTTGTTTTAGTTCAATGTACATGTAATAATATGCGGGATAATACATGAACTTAATACTGCTTCAAGGTTATACAGGTTTGTCAATGTAAAAATAAAATAATTTGTTTGTTAAGTTAGGGAGCTATCATTTGATTTTTTGGGGGGGGGGGGGGGGGGGGGTCTAGGATGAAATTTGAAAAAAAGGCAGGATGAGACAATATGAAAAAAAAGGCAGGATGACAATTTATGTAAACAAGTCGGGATAAACTAATAGAAAAAAAGGCAGGACAAAAAAAGAGTGAAAAATCAAAAGGCAGGACAGATTACATCTCGAACTAAAAAAAAATGCAGGAAAAAATTTTTTCATCCTAGCCCCCCCCCCCTTTTCCCCCATAAAAATGGAAAGGAAGCTCCCTTATAGTGTTTCCTTCAGAGGGTGTTGGCCTGGAATGGTACCCTGCAGTTTTCATACACCTGTTCATGAGAAATATTATGGTATGCCTTTGTCCTTCTGTCTGCCCTGATCTGTCTGTTTCTAGCATGTTGTTCACTAACTCCGTAATATTATCACCAATTTGCATGAAACTCTGGTGAATTGATTATATCTACTGACGTGAGCTCCCTTTTAGATTTTTAGGAATTTATAATATACATTTTCAAAATGTGAGGTTTTATTCATAAAAAAAGGGGGATTTTCATGTTAATGCCCATTAACTCTAAAAATGCTTTGTTCACCAACTCTTCAACGCTTTCACCAATTTGCATGAAACTGTTGTGAATTGATTATTTTATAAATTTTAGGTTTCCCGTTTCAGAGTTATATATGGATTGTATTCATGTATTGATGTGAGTTCCCTTTAGATTGTTTTGGAATTTTAGAATTTACATTATCCAGTTACAATGTAAGGGGTTTTATTCATTCAAAAAGGGGGATTTCCATATTTTCGGACATTAACTCGAAAATGCTTTAAGCAGTTGTTATTTGTCATGAAACTTTGGTTAATTGTTTATATATATCTATTGATGCAAGCTCCCTTTCAATTTAATAAATTGTGGGATTTTATTCGTAAAAAAGGATGGCTTTCCCAGTTTGCAGATTAAATTCAAAAGTTTGTACATGCACTTCTCTGGCATGTTTCAGTAAATGTGTAAATTATAACTGACATAACTAACTTTGACAATGACCACATATTTTTAAGTTCAATGTACATGAAATATACAAGGTAATGCATGTAGACTCGATACTGCTGCAAGGTTATACAGGGTTGTCAATGAAAAAAAAAAAAAATTTGTTTGCCAACTTTAGTGTTTCTTTCAGAAGGTTTTGGTGTGGTATGACACCCTGTCATTTTTATACGCCCGTTTACGGGACGTACTATGGTATACCGTTGTCTGTCTGTCTGTCCGTCGTCAACATGTCGGACATTTACTCAAAACCGCTTTAACCAATTTGCATAAAACTTTGGTGAATTGTTTATATCTATTGACATGAGCTCCCTTTCGTTTTTTATAAATTTTAGATTTTACGTTTTTGAGTTATGGGGTTTTATTCATTAAAAAAAGGGGGATTTTCCAGTTTTCGGACAATAAAAGCTTTCACCAACTTGCAAGAAATTGTGGTGAATTGTTTATATCTATTGACATGAGTTCCCTTTCGATTTTTATATATTTTAGATTTTACAATTAACTTTTGTGAGTTGCAGGGTTTTATTCATGAAATAAGGGGGGATTTTCCAGTTACGGACAAAATTCAAAAATGCTTTCAGCAGTTCGTATGAAACTTTGGTGAATTGTTTATATCTATATTGATGTAAGCTCCGTTTAAAATTTTATAAATTTTACATTTTACATTTCTGAGTTACGGGGTTTTATTCATTAAAAAAGGGGTGATTTTCCAGTTTTCGGACAATAGCTCAAAAATGCTGTCAGCAATTCTCATGAAACTTAAGTGAATTGTTTATATCTATTGTTGCAAGCTCCCTTTACAGTTTCATAAATTTCTAATATGACTGTGAATTAATTGAACTTTATTTGTTTATAGTCTGACGACAGATTTACTAAGTATTGCGCAATAGCACAGTGTATTGCACAACAGCAAGAAATCTTTATTTTCATCACGTTCTAATGAAGTAACAAGCTTATTTTGCTGAAAGTTAGAATGATATGATCTACAATTGAGTAACAAGTACCAGAAGTGATAAAAAAATTGTCTTTATGAAAATAACATGCAACCAACTTTAAAATCAATGCTTTAACCTCCTAAAGAAAATAAATTGTTTACG